AGCTACAACAAGTGTCCACTTTGTATGGGGGAGCATAAAATTAGTACGTGCAAAAGATTTCTACAGTACAACGTTGATGAGAGATGGGAGTATGTCAAGCGTAACCGTTTATGTTTCTCGTGTTTGCGAAGTGGTCACTCGTCCCGGGAATGCCGTAGTAAAGCGTCGTGTATGATAGACGGTTGCCATCGTAAGCACAACAAGCTATTGCATGAATCTAACAAGAATGTCAGTAGACCTACATCAGAGCGCTACGAGCAGCAACAAAACACAATTACTGGAAGAGAAGAGCCAATGCAAAACAGAAGTCAGGCTAACGGTGCCGTCCTGAGTTGTGCCGCTACACCACGCAATGAATATCAACTTTTGTTTCGCGTCTTACCCGTAGTACTGTATGGGTCTGGACGACGTGTGAATACATACGCTATGCTGGACGAGGGCTCATCCGTGACAATGATTGACAGTAGCTTGATAGCAGAGTTGGGAGTTAAAGGTCATCAGCACATGTTAAGCTTGCAGTGGTATGGAGGAAAGACGGCACAACAACCAGCTACTGTAGTTAACCTTCAGATTAGCGGAACTGGATCGAGCAAACGTTTTAACCTGCGTCACGTGTACGCGGTGCCAGATCTGGATTTGCCTATGCAGAGTTTAAATAATCATGATTTACGAGGAGCCTCCGAATATTTGCGCAAAGTACCCAATACGTTTTCAAATGTAAAGCCAAAACTACTTATTGGCTTGGATCACTGCCACCTAGGGCTGCCGACAGAAACCATGCAGTTTGTAAAGAATGGGCCATATGCAGCTAACACGGAGCTCGGTTGGGTGATATTCGGAAGATACCAAACCGGTTTGCTGTGGCACAAGGACGACATCCAGCTGCCAGACAGTTTCCAAATGGCCGAACAACGACTCAGAGGAATTGAACGAAAGATGAGTAAAAATAGTGACTTTGCCATAGCATATAAATCGACAATTCAAAGCTACATTGCCAAAAATTACGCGGTAAAACTGAATCCCCTTGATTTCAATAAAACTGGCCCAAGGGTTTGGTATCTTCCACACTTCGCAGTCGAAAATCCTAACAAGCCTGGTAAACTCCGCCTAGTGTTCGATGCTGCTGCAACCGTAGACGGAATATCCTTAAACTCCTGTTTGCTTAAGGGTCCTCAAGGCTACCAACCAATGCCAACGGTACTGTACAATTTTCGGATCGGAGCTATTGGTGTTTGTGGTGATATTGCGGAAATGTATCACCAGATCAAGATACAACCGGAAGATAGGTGCGCGCAAAGGTTTCTTTGGAGGGACGACTCCAGACACGCGCCAGACGTGTACGAAATGCAAGTTATGATATTCGGAGCCGCATGCTCGCCTTGTGCCGCGCAATATGTGAAGACCTTAAACGCTTTTGAGTATGAGAAGAAATTTCCACGCGCTGTCGAGGCCATCATAAAGCATCATTATGTCGATGGCTTTGTGGACAGTTTCGAATCCTGTAAGGAGGCCATAACCATTACAGAACAAGTACGTAGGATACACAAAGCGGCGGGTTTTTACATGCGAAAGATTGTTTCCAATTCTGCAGCCGTATTTAAGACATTTGCCAGTGCAACAGATGATAAAGAATCAGCCATCAGCCGGTTTGATGTTCAGTCAAATACAGAAAAGGTACTCGGAATGTTTTGGCACCCAAATGACGACACTTTTCGATATGAGCTTAAGTTCCATCGAGTCAACGCAGAAGTAGTAAAAGGAAGCAGACCACCAACAAAAAGAGAGCTTCTCAGCTATGTGATGTCCATCTTTGACCCGCTGGGCTTTCTTTGTCATCTGACTGTTGGCGCTAAACTGTTGATGCGAGAAGTATGGCGGCGGGGAATAGCATGGGACGAGCAACTAGACGAGGAAATTAACTACTCCTGGAAAAAATGGCAAGAACACGTCCGGAAGACTTCGATGGTTCGGATTCCGCGCTATTATTTCCATGACGGACCACCAAAGGATTTGCAGCTGCACGTGTTTGTGGACGCTAGTGAAGAGGCTTTCTCTGCGGTATGTTACTGGCGATATATAAGCATGAAAGGTCAGGTCAAGACAACACTGATCGGAGCTAAGTCGAAATGCGCGCCCACGAAGCCAATGACAATTCCCAGGCTCGAGTTACAAGCTGCTGTGCTTGGCGTTCGCCTATCGCAATTAATTCTCGAAGAACACAACCTTGAATGTACCCGTATTTTGTGGAGTGATTCTACGACCGTTATCAGCTGGTTAAACTCCGAGAACCGCCGCTATAAACCATTCGTAGCGCATCGTATCGCGGAGATACTTGCCGTAACTCAGCCGTGTGACTGGAAATGGGTTCCTACAAGTGCGAATGTTGCTGACGATGCTACACGCCACAGCCGTCATATAGACTTATCTGAAACTTCTCGTTGGTTCAAGGGACCAGAATTTTTATCATTGGGAGTGGAAGATTGGCCAAAACATTCTACTGAAACTACCACAGCTGAAAATACCACAGAAACAACTACCGAAGAGTT